ATTTTTTATCGTAATTTATTTAAAGAGAAGTTGAGAAATATTAATTAAAAGTCATATCAAAATTCGTGACCTACATTGCTGATCATTTCCCGATTGCAGACTTTTGACCACCGAGTGTACATGTACAAGCAATTTGATCGCTAATCAATTTATCGGATCTATTATTTATTATCGTTATCATTGTCTACAATTATTACTATTGTTACGATTGCTATGCTTGTGTACGAATTGTACGAATGTCTGATAATCACAAAAATGAATCGAAAAAATAAAGAAAAAGCTAATACTAATACCATTTCAAAGTGAAATTCTTTAACCGGAGCCCAAAAGAAGGAATTATATAAAAGAAAGCAAGACAATCCAAACTTAAAAGGTGTGAAATTAGCTAAAGAGTATGAAATAAGTAACAAGTCGGTATCAGACATACTCAAACGTTCAGAATTCTGGTTAAATCTTGATGATATTAACTCAAATCAACTCTTACTGATAATCTCATTCAAGTAAACGTCAAAGAATTTGCTAATCAGTTTGGAATTACTGAATTTAATGTATTTGATGGCTGGCTTGCCAATTTTAAAAAAGAAACGCGCTTTTTTCATATCGATGTAAAGGAGAATCTGGCAGTACCCCTTTGGAAGATGTTCCACATGTTTGAAATGAACTTCAAGATCTTTCTTCAGAATTATGAACCTAAAAATATTTTCAATTGTGATGAGATAGTACTTTATTAGTGACTTGAACCAAGTACAACACTTGCAGCATGAATCAGTTTTGGGAAAGAAAAAACCAAAGGATCGAATTTCACTTATAATTACCTGTGATGAAAAATTACTTCTCCTATTTATTCGTAAATATAAAACACTGCGTGTACTTCATAATATTGATAAATCTACTCTACCTTTTTAGTATTATTAGAACAAGAAAGGATGGATGCAAAGAAGCATCTTTAGTAATTTTTTGGAACGGTTTAATGGATAAATGAGATGTGCTTGACGTAATATTATTCCTCTTCTTGACAACATCTTCTTGCATAATTCGGAAAATGTTCAAATCTTTCTAATATTTTTTACCACCAAACACAACATCTTGTCTTCAACCTATTGATCAAGGAATTGGTTACAGTCTTAAGGTATTTTTTTTTAATAAATTTAATTTTTTAAGTTAGATTTATTTAGTTTGTTTTCTATTAGACACAATAGTATGTCAAAACCATCTTGATGTCTATGATGCTATTGCGGAAGATAATCCAATTCCACCTGATGTCAATATATATGTGCAATCTACTTCGTAAGTCAAGCATGAAAAATGTTACAACGAATGCAATAATTCGTAGCTGGAATAGAGCTGGTATTCCTTCTACGATGATAACGATCCTCTTCCTGTAGCCGAGGAAACTGAATTAGAAACGACAATTAGTAAACTTATTAAAAAACTACCAATTAATGATCCTTTAGAAATATGAGAATATATTCAAATTGATGATAATATGGATATTAAAGAAATTGTAACTGTAGATGATATTGTAGATGTGATGAATGAGCGGGAGGAAAGTGAATCAGAAGAAGAAAATGAACCCGAAAAAATAATTAAAATTAATGATGCAATTATAGGATTTGATAATTTTCTAAAGTATATCCAGCAAGAAGATTTAAAAATTAGTGCGTCTTTAATGAATAATTTACATAGTCTTAGAAAGCAATTAGTTAGTAAAGACATTGAACAGAAAAGACAAGCTACTCTGGAGGAATTTATCAATTTTAAAGATTAATTAATCTTTTTCATGTAATGAATAAGTAAATTAGTTGATTTACATGGATATTATTATAGGCGTAATGTCATTTTTAATGACTTACTAAGCTTATGTACATTTTCGTTATAATTTTACGTGATCTTATAATAATGTAAAGCGGAGATCATGTGAGTTATTATAAAATATCACGATATCAGAACTTGCAATATAACGGAGAAAAAGATTGGAACCATGACCGCCGTTATATCGAGAGTCACTATGTATCAGAAGGGGTACGTTATTTATGACCGTTACTGTATATACATACCAGAAACAGACTTAGTGTAAGAATTTTTATCAGTTTTGACCAGTGTTGCAGTGTTTGCATTTAGACAATTTAGACATATCAAGACTACTGTCATTTGGTCATTCCAATATTTAGTCACTCAAATTATTTGGACTTAATCAAAATGCCAACACTGAGTTTGACAGGATCAGTTACGGGAGGATCAATTATCTGGACGTAAGGAATCAGCGATTTTATTTTGCGTCTTTCATTTTTAACTTTACTTGATATTAATAATTTATTTAACTAATCCATTTTTCTATCCTTTATTTAAAACGTAAGAAATCAGCGATTTTGTTTTACATTATTCATTTTAATTTTATTTGATAATTATTCTATTCTATATAGAAAAAAATATGCGAAGCAATAAAAGTACATATAAAAAATTTGAGACCGATATGCTCAAAAAAACTAATGGCCACTTATTAACTAACGTACAATAAAGATTACTCTGGTTAAGCATCATCACGGCTATAAAAAATGGGTTAATACTTGTTCAAAGAATTAAGAAAACGAATAAAAAAAAATTTAATTAAGAAATCTTTAGAACTTCACAATTACATAAAGGACAGCCATACAAATATCCTAAATCAAAAGAATTACAAAATGCAGTTACATAAACTTTCGTAACAATTAAATGATCGATTCATTGATTTAATTTGTCTAATAGTCATGCTATTTGCTCAACACCTATCCAAAGATCTGGAAAGAAAGAAAAGTAACAAAACGGTCTCGTTACCCGATCCGACTGAGCTCACATAATTGGTATTCTAACCGCTCGAACCTTTTTTAAATGCATACATAGTCAATGGAACCAAATTACATGCATCACCAGTCTTTTCCGAGTGCTATATATATATATATATATATATATATATTCGGGCTAATAAAAGGTAAACAGGAGCTTTTGCAAGATTTTGATTTATTATTTTTTATTTTTTTTAAGTAATATTATTAATAAATCTTATTATTCTTGCTCGATACTACAGATAACTTGGGAATCTCTTAACTTTACTCTTATCGAACGATTAATCGAATGCTGTGGAATATTCACAATCTGGCTTTTGACTACGAATAAATAGTACTACAAAGAGTTCTTTATTGATAATATGTATGAGAAAGAACAACTTGAGTACGAAAATGACTGGGAAGGAGGCTCTAAACTTTAATCAATAAAAGCAATTGTGAAAATGGTCAAGTAACTACAAACAAAAAATAGTCTGACCCGTTGATTATAGGACAGATTCAAATATATTATGATGTTGATAACAACCAGGTTAGACTGTCTCATTATTGGTTGCGCAGAAAATTTGGGGGGTTAACGGTCAACTTTACTGAACCAATTGGATTCTAGTCAGGGTAAGGAAAAAAAATTATATGTAAGCGGGTTGGAATTTAGACGTCCAAATTAATTATATCCAAATGACTACGTCTAAATTGTCTAAATAGTAGTTCAAGGCATCGTGATATCACTTTTGTTTGCAGGGTAGATCAAAAATTTATGCACTCTTATTTATTGACAAAAATTTGCACGTTTCCTATTAAATGGATTACAGATTACGAAATTTGAAATTTGTACGGGGCCAATGCATGTATAATGAAATTCATTGTTTCTGTGTCATTGAATGTAAAAAATCCAAAAAAGGGAATGTTTTCATAATGATAAATAACACGTTTTTTTCAGTATGATAATCAGGGTTCATTTCCGGTAATAATGATTTTTAATTATGCATGCAAGTACAAGAATTCCAGGCCAATGATCAGAACACATGAAATATATCGTGTCTTACCAGAAAACCTTATTCAAAATTTTCCGAGGACAATGGCGTGTAAATATATATATATATATGCATGCTTAATTTGTATTTACGGACTTCGCTGTTTCTCTTGCTGTTAGACTTCCCCAGCATAATCTGAAAAATCTGTCACGGTGTCCGGAAATTGGGTCGGTGATCGATGCAAAAAATTAAAAGTTTATCAGGCACGAAATAATCAGTGCAGTCAAAAAAATATTTTACTTCTCTAATTATTGACTTGCTTATGAACAGTAGTTAAGTTGCTTTATTGAAGTAAAAATATTGTAAGCATATATAGCATACAGTTGAACCTTGATATAACGAAGGGGTTGAGCTGTTAGTCCCAAATTCGCTATACGGTATCTAGGTTTTACTAATAATCTCATTATATCAAGCTAAGGCACTGAAAATAAATCTCGTTATATCGCGATTTACTACTTGTTCGTTATATCAATGTTCGTTATATCGAGGTTCAACTGTATGCTATATATGCTTACAACATTTTTACTTCAATAAAGCAACTTAACTACTGTTCATAAGCAAGTCAATAATTAGAGGAGCAAAATATTTTTTTGACTGCCTTTGATTTTTTGCATCGATTACCGACACAATTTCCGGGACACCTTTTCAGAGATATTTAATATGCATGACGTCAAATCCTATCCTTAATTGTTACAGATCACACATCGGAAAAAATAAGATACATGCACAAAAAATCTCCTATCATTTAATTTGTTCATGGCAGGTGTGATCGGTCGTAAACAAATTAACACATGGTTGAGTTAGGAATGTTAATTTGATCAATTAAGGTAACACAAAGAAGTTAGCATCACAAAGAAAAAATTTAAGTTAATTTGAGAAGAGACCTTTGCGTAACGAAATAACTTTACAAAAATAACGAATCGCTGTCAAAGACCTCAATAATTTTCGACATCATAATTTTATTTTCACAACATTCACTCCTTATTCGATAGATTCATTTTAACGATATTTGAAAATAAATATATGCATTAATAAAAGATGTCAACAAGCGTTAAAACAGAATTAGTATATGAAGAACCTTCCTTAATAAACATCGAAGATTTAGATGATAAGCGATTGATAGCACTTCATCAAATAGATACCGTAAATTTTAGTTGGTTTCATATTCGAACATGTATAGTATCCGGCATTGGATTTTTCACGGATGCTTACGACTTGTTCGTGATAAATTTAGTTTCAGCAATGTTGGGTGTCGCTTATTTTGATAATTCCGTGGTCCCAAATGATGTAGATTTAGGCTTAAAAGTTTCAGCAGCAGTTGGCACTTTGTTTGGTCAATTGCTTTTTGGGATCATGGCTGATCGATATGGACGAAAACAGGTATGTCACAAGTAAATTCTGCATTGGTAATTATTATAGTCAACTTAACGTTAATTTTGTTAGTAATGTTCTCTTGTGAATAGATGTATGGGTTTGAATTATTGATCATGATAATATGCACTATTGGACAAATTTTAGCGGGAAGTTCTTACGCCGTTACTGTTCATGGGACAATTATTTTTTGGAGATTTTTTCTTGGGTTAGGAATAGGAGGAGATTATCCAATGTCAGCTGGTAAGCACTTTAAACTATGCTTTTTTTAATCCTTTTTTAATTTCT